CGGTTTTTTGGCGCCCGAACCAACTCGGTGGTTTTCTATGTTTTAAACCTTTTTTTGATCTCTGAGCATATTTAAAATGTTCCCAAATAATTATTTCATAAAAACCACTTTTGTATCTTGGTCAATCGGTCTAACACGTGAAAAACGGTCAAAACCGTACGCACGTGATGTACGACCTTGGAGACTTGGTTTTTACCGAACAAGTCTTGTTTTCACTATTTTATACCATATACAATGTTTTTCAAACTTGGTTTTTACTTTTGGGAACACTTCGTTTTTGGACCTCGGTTTTTCAAAACGGGTTTCAGCTGGCTAGACTTTAGCTGGGTGATAATCGATTATCACCTTAGTGACAATCGACTATCAGCCCCTGCAGCTTTGGAACTCCAAAGTTCTGAAGCACGCAATAATCGATTATCACTTATTCAATAATCGATTATCAACTGTGCAGCCAAAACCCAGAAACTTCTGAGAGGACCAATAATCGATTATCACTTGTTGACAATCGATTATCTGGGTTACCGTTGTCCTCCAACGGATAGATTTTTAAACTTTTAGACAAGGAATCTTTTAATAATCGATTATCATGTCTAGACAATCGATTATCACCCTGCAACTCTGAAAAATTTGTCTTCATCCTGTTGGAAAATTTAGCAACGGTTTTATCCCATTTTGGGCTATAAAATGGCACCCAAATCCTCTCATTTTACACACAATTCTTCAACATTTCAATACTCTTTCGTTGCATAAGCATTCCTATTTTTCTAAGCTATTTGAGAGCCAATTCTTGAAGAAATTGTCGTGTTGTTGAGCGTATACTAGTTCACTCAAATCTACTCTTTGTGAGAGTTTTATTCCTGAGTGTTTAAGTGTTTTCATACACTTTAAGGGAGGTTGTTCCCTTGTTGTAAACTCGAAGGAAGTTCTTTGTTCCTTCGTGAGAAGTCTTAGAGTGTGGTATCTCCGAGCAAAGGCGTTGAGGCTCGTGTGACTCGAGTTCTCAAGTTGTATCGGTTTGTTAAGCACCCTTAAGCTTAACGGAGTTAGTGTAGCTCGAGAGAGTCTCTCGGGAGGCTGGATTAGCCACACGTTATGGTGAACCAGGATAAAATTCGGTGTGCTCCTTCCTTACACTCTTTACTTTAACGCTCTCGTTTTTAATTTCTTGCGATTTTGTTTTAAACGCTATTCACCCCCCCTCTAGCGTTGGGCCTTTATTCTAACAATTGGTATCAGAGCCTTACTCTCTGTAAGACTTAACCGTTTGAGAGAAACGATCAATGGCTTCTACTCAAAGTTCATACGCAGGTTTAGGTGAAGGGCAATCCACCACAAGGCCTCCGTTGTTTGACGGAACGAACTACACCTATTGGAAGGAGCGGATGAGGATTTACATCCAATCCACCAACTTTCTCCTTTGGAGAATTATCAAGAATGGTGAAGACGTGCCAATGAAGAAGGTCGGGGAAACCAACGTCCCTAAGACCGAGAACGAGTATGATGCACAAGACATCA